CCCCAAAACCCCAAAACCCCAAAACCCCAAAACCCCAAAACCCCTTCCGAAGCTTTAAAATTGTATAAAAATAAACTAAAATGTTTGGCAATATTGATAACCAAGTGAGGCTTTGGAGCTTTTACGATTAGAATAGCATGTGAAGACTCCTCTTTTGGAGAATCTGTTTCAATTAGGATTGGGCTTTGCCTTGCTAAACAAATTAACACATTTTAACTCTTCAAATAGGACTATATTATGAAAAGACTTGGCGAAGAGTAGGATAATTTTTGCTAAAATTATAGAGCAAGGAAGAATTTGGGAATTGTTGTTCCATTTACTGACCAAACTAAATTAACTTCTCGTATTGAGAAGCCAAAGTTCAGACCTGTAAGTTTTCTTTGCCACCATAGCTTTTGAACTCGAATTATTTACTCACATAACTGATTTAATAGGAAGACACATTGGATAGAGAAATTGTGAAGACTGAGAGAAAATATGAAAATATTCGCACTAGGTAAGAAATTCCAGACGAAAAACAAAAGTGCTCGATCTTTGGCCAAATTCCTGAGCATACCATCAAAAACTTTTAAGTTTAATATGAATACCATATTATTTTTGTGCAAAATATTTTCTGGAAATTTTCTGTGGTTTATCCACGATTTTATTTAACATAGTCCTGTGAGCAAAACCAAGCCCATGATGGAGCTAGAATCAACAGGATATCAGATTGATAAAGAAAAGTTCTTTGGAATGCAACCTAACCCAGAGAGAGCTTTTAAAAAGAATAGCGAAGAGTTCTATACTGGAAATGGTAGCCCTGCTAGAATTCCTTCTAGAAATAAGATTTTACAGAGAAGGTCGGCTGTTGCAAATACAGGAAACACTATTGTGAGAGCACCCTCCCATGGATCTCTTAGCCGAATTAGTGAGAAAGTCTATAACCCTATGACTGGAGCATTTATAGAGTGTGGGGCTAAAATGGATAACAGATCATATTTCAGAGGAAGGTATTCTAACTCCTAAAAATCTAGAAGCAATCATACAAGCAGCGTTCCAACTCTTAGACCAATCAAAGAAGCCAATGGTAAAGACGACTCCAGCCAGCTCTCCTATACCTCTGAGATCCTAAAGAAAAAGAAGTCAATTTTTGGTATAAACTCCAGTACCCTAAAAATCAACCTCGGGACCTCTTCCACAAATCCCTCTAGCGGTCTCATGACCAGAAGCTTAACTCATGCTCCTTCTACGTTCAAATCTCCACAAGAAAACTTCAACAGGTCCATTAAGTTCGAAAGAGAGAGTGAGAAATATGCTGATGCTAGCAGACAAAAGCAGTTTAAAATTATTAATGACCAGAAGTACCACAGAAAGAATGACCTACACACGCTTACGTACAACTCTATTTCAGGTAAATATTACAAATAAGCGTCAACAAAGAAGCCCAAATTTGGGGTTTTGGGGTTTTGGGGTTTTGGGGTTTTGGGG